TACTGTAGCCTGCAAACATAGCTCCAGGATCTTTCCAAAGGCGACCAAAATTATACCCCAACAGCTCAGGAGTAATATAGATGCATGCGTGGGGTTCGATAAAATATGTGGGAAACTGTGAACTGGAGTGACAATATAATTCACACACGTTAGATTTATGAGGCAGACGACACAGATTAACGCCCATCGACTTGGTTCCACTGAGCGCAGGCATAAGAATGTGACATATGTAGAAACGCAATTCCACGTGAATCAGGAATGCAAGGAGAGTGCGACCTCATGATATGTGCATGTGCCAGTTGACATAGCAATCATAATACTAATAATTCTAGGCGGTTCCATTACTATTTATCAGGCGCATGAGCATGTCCAGGTAATAGATAACCAAACGTTATTGAAGCGAGAACAGCCGGTTCACGATAACAAGCTGGAAGTATTCCGCAAATTACCAGTAAGTACCGTCCTTAATAGGTGAAGCAAAGGTAAAGAAATGACAGGATGAAAGTATATTGCACGTACACATATCCGGTGGGATGACTAACAATAAGACACCGGACGACACGAGCTAGCTAGGATGTGAGGAACCGCGCGAGTGAGCGGCGTGTTTAATCTAACTGTGGTGCCGTGTGTACGAATTGGATATTAGTTAGCTCAGACAAACAATTTCAACAAACATTTCAGATATCTGCAAACGGTTTCTAAGCGTATACTAAAATGGTGGTTTGATTTAGCATTTTACACAACATATACAATCCGGGATAAGCCTCAGACTGTCTCAACGACTCTTCCCAACTATCCAGAAAAATCCGCCGTAATTCTTCATTTGGCCCTACTTAGAACTTTTACCTGGCTCAAAGGTCAACTGTTTTCTGTTAGACACACTGACATTTAGAGTCATTAAACGGAACAAAGAGTGACGAAAATTTCATGCAGTGTAAACTAGATAGCGTTCACTTCTGTACTGTCAAGTCGAAATCGTAGTAGGCTTCTAGCTCAATCGATCGGTCGCTATAAACCCAGGTTAGACACGTCGTAGGGAAAAGCCGGAAGAAGACGGATACCTAGAGAACACACACGTTTATTGTCGAAACGGAGCGTCCCGCTAGCATAAAAATGTTTTCGCTAGGACGAAAAGCATGGTCGTCACCGCAGACGTGGAGAGCATGCTCCGAGGCGAAAAGCCGAAAGAGCGCGAAGTGCGATTCGTCTGCTTGACGGATGCACAGGTAGTCAACGTTCCAACAGGCAAACATTCTAATCTGCCTAGGTACAAGATGGAACTAACTTTTTATCATATTTTGCGCATTGTATCCAGACAAACAGGAGAATTTCCAGGTCGCTATAGGCGTTCAGTCTTATTTCATAACAAATCGATAGATTAGACACTCGAGCTTCCTTTTTTTCCCTTCAGCCCATCTTGGCCCTTAATATTGCATTTTCATTTTACTTGAAACAATGGTTTATCACGGCTGCAGCGTTACCATATGCTAGGTAAATCACTGGTGAATTGGTTAGGTGGCCAGGCAAACTTAAGTAACCTTTCGCCAAACTTCACTTTAATATTGTATGCTTACATACTTACTATTCGCTAGCGGAATCTCTCCAGCAATTCTAGGTTGGATTCCCAGTTCCTCCCAACTCAACTTCAAACCATTGGGATATCAATACTTCAGTTCAGTTGTACTTGGCCCTACAACTAACCGTTCGCTAGTGGAACATCCCGTGCAACCATAGCATGCACATTCAACTCAGGTTTAACATATCTTGAATAGTTCGTTGAATTTCCCTAAGCCATGGTTGGTAGCGTCCGATGCTGGCGTAATCTGTTATACACATGTTCGAAACAAAGTCAGCCTCTAAGGATGATGATCTGAATTCTTACACTGGTTACACTTTATAAACCAACTTTTGGAACATCTACTGCTAACAATATTTTATATCCAACCATGACCCCATTATACGTATAGGGTAAGTGCTAACTGCGTCAAGGAATGAACTATCCATACAGTCGACTTTCAAAGGGGATATGGCTGCCGAGTGTTAGGTATAATCGTGCAAGAGAGTCTTGGAAATTCGCTCCAATGTTCGGAAGCAGCAAGTGTGGCGAACTTGAACTTGAAACTTTTGAGGCGAGCTCTTGGCACGTTTGAGCGACGGCTAGTACCATTGTTGATTAACTACTACACTCGTCCTCATGTTGTATATGCAATTCAGGCCTGGTGTCCATGGTTAAAACGAGACATCTGCCTCTTTGAACAGCCCCAAAGTAGAGCCACAAGGGCAATGCGTGGACCATCCGGTATAAGTTACGAAATGCGTCTTCGTGTACTCGGTGTGTTCTCATTAGAATACAGACGGCTTCGCGGAGATCTTACTCTCACATACCGGATACTAACAGAAAGCGAGCATCCATGTACATCACTGTTGACTCTAGCCCCTTACAAATAAAACCGAGGCAACCACCTGAAACTAGTGACGCAACACTCTCGTTTGAAGTGTAGAAAGTATTTTTTCCCACTTAGAATCTGTCCTCATCGGAATGCGTTACCAAACTATGTGGTGAACACACCAGACATGACGACATCAGAAAGATTCTTAGATTTTCCTCTTAGTGATAAACGATACACAACACTGCTAAAGTGCAATGATTTAACCACTGATACTTTACGTTCCACGTTGGAACATTTTGATTTTAATTTTCTTTTGCATATCCATCCTGTGAGTCTTGTAAAGTTATGCTTTTTATCCCATCATACACCATTGAACCATTGAACCATAAGTCATTTAGTCGTAGTTGAGCCTACCTTTGTAGCAGCTGCGCTTAAGTGTGTCTTTTCAAATGAACCACTCGTTCAGTCGCAAAATAAGACAAGTTGCCGATGCTTACCTCCTACACGGTTGTTCATTGGCTCCAGTGCACCAGTGGCGCAAAGTTTATTAGTCGAACGCTACGGCATTTGTCCAAACGCGTGAGTGTGCACTGCCCACCTTAGTTGCCTCAAGGTTGCGCTGGGGTCATTAGTAGGTCCTTTCTGACACACATCGTCGACACTAGGCATTAGATGGATCCAAAGCGTGCCTTCACAATTGTGCACAAGGCACAAGGCTAGCCGAACAACCTCGTGATGCCAGCTGGGTCGTGCGGGATTATCCCGTTCCAGCGAATGGTTCGGCGGCAGTGTTCCAGGACGTGGTGGGATTTCGCCTGGCAAGCGTTCTGCCTACAAAAAGCCACATATGTCCGTTTAACAACACTGTGACGTGGCGGATGTGACTCGTCACTAAATAAAGTCACGGCCTCTTCCTTTTCCGGAAGATCATTCACTCATCACGAACGTCATCCGATTCGAAGCGTTCCATTGATTTCCCCCTTTGATGGCGAACCCAAAGAACAACAACACACACATCTGGTTAGCACTGTGGGGGTAAATGATAGAGCAACTTGGATGCACCTACGGAGTGGTCACACTCACTTGCTCGACTATGTCATCGTACGTCAGCGTGACATGCCTGAAGTGCGCGTGACACAATGGAACAATGGTTTTATACGGATAAAAAGCTGTAGCTTAACAGGTTCCGCAGGATGATCATAATAAAATTTCAAAGTGTAGGAGAAAATTGTCAGCAACTTTAGGTTCACCCTGGTGTAGTCACCGTGGTATTCATGAGTATAAATCCACTTTTTCCAAACTGCTAATCATTTCGAAAACCCATATGGGAACCATTGATCAAAAGACGAATAATTAACGACATTATGCGATCACGTTGTACATGTTGATAAGACCACCCAATTGGTCTGTGCCTCTCACCGCTGAGGAAAAAAACGTTCATTTATTTATTTATTTTCGATAACACATGTGTACCTGTTTACACTACTCACAAACATCCAACATTAATATATATATCCGTTTACACAGATTTCGGGAGGGCTGGAGGACACAGTGTTTGCTGCGTCCTGTTGTCACTAAGTGAACAGAAAGCAGACCAGCTAATGCAGTTGTTGTAATGCATCGCCAAGTCGTTTTATAAAAACGGGTAGTGTGGACGAAAAAATTGAAAGAGCGTTCCGGGGTGAGAGATGCGAAGAGAAAATTAGTTCAGTCGGAATGTCAGCGGACTGTATTGCGAAGCCAGTTTCAGCTCGTGGTCCCACAATGTTGTTTCGCGGCGGACTTTCAGGAGGTGGCGACAAGCGTGATCAAGGTTTTACAAGAACTGGAACGCCAGGAGGTGGTCACTTCGTAGACAGCGATAACTACCGCTGTACAGTGCTAACGTTTTCAGTCGCAAATGGTACGGCAGGTGGAGCGTTCCCTTCACATGCTTGGTTGTATCCAGTGCAAGCAGCTCGCGTTTTAGCGAAGGTTGCCAAGCCTAACGCGCTTACTCCACCTGGGGCCTCACATAGGCACTGAGCATTTTGGGGAAGGTGGAAGGGGTCGAACAGCACGAACGTCCTCCTTAACATACCAACGTGTTGGTTCGCGGTTTAGGACGGCTTCAAAATCTGCGTCGAACAGCCGAGATCGTCTTGCATGACCACCCCAAGATCACGCTTCTATACGGCAGTTTTCAGCATGTGGTCTCTAAGCTTATATGCGTTAGTGGGCTTGTGGCTTGCATGTACAGTCTTGCAGTTGTCCGCGTTAAACGGAAGTAGATTTGCCTTTGACCAGTCAAAGGCACGGTCTATGTCGCACATTGTAGCACATCGTGATCGACCTGACAACCGATAGTTCGATATCTCTTGATGTCATCGACAAAAAGCAGGAACTTCGACTCGATGACACGCGCGAGCTCGTTAACGAAGACTAGGAATAGGTGAGGCCTTAACACCGATCCCTGTCGGACACCACTGTCCACGTCGATAGGATCAGAAATTGAACCCCTAACCCGAACCTGATTCCGCCGCTAAAGCAGGAAAGTTTCGATTCATCCAAGGACAGGGTCTACAATTCCGTACGCTTGGAAATTTGGCAGAGTTATTCGGTGATCTAAGCGGTCGAAGACTTTAAAAAGTCTAGGTAGATGACGTCGGTGTCAGTCCCAGGTTCAGCAATCACGGTCCAACCGCCACGCGTAATTGCTAGATTGGTAGTCAACGACCGATGCTGACGGAATCCATGTTGTTCCGGTGCTATGATGTTAGACCTTTCAAAGTAGTCCATTACAGCCTCAGGTATGATTGCCTCCATCACCTTTGCGAGCACCGGGAAGTGAATCACTGGGCAATAATTTACGGGCTCCGAACGGCTACCACGTTTAAAAATTGGGATGATGATACCTTGTTTCCACATGTTAGGGACTTGCTGTTCATCCAGGCATCTTGGGAAAATCGAGATAATGTCTCAGTTATCCTCGTAGCTGCCACCTTAAATGCTTTTCGGTGAATGTTGTCTACTCCGGGGAACTATGATTACGCAAGGTAACAGCTTTCTCAAAACGGTCGCTGAACTAAAATTGACATCTCTGAATATTAACGTCTTGGGGAATGGAACAGGTGTGCGACGCATGTGGGTGGCTCATCAATATATGGAAGCATGTCGCAACCGTAGAACCTTGGTTGCACCCTCGGTAGTTTGAGCACATCGATTTGCTGAGATAAGTGGGGAAACACCACACTTCACATTCCGGAGGCTGTTCACATTTCTGTACAGAAACTTATTGTTAGCGATAAACCTTTCCGCTAGGCTTTGCTGGTGAACTAATTTATCCTCACATACAAGTGTGGTATAGTGATTACGATGCACTACACAATAACTCCAGTTTTCAGGGTTAGGATTCGCCCTATACGGATGCAACACTGTGTCTCTTAACGTCATGTGTTTTCGGGTTCCGCTCCCAATGATTGTTGGTGCTCTTGTAGAACGAATGCGTTTGTGTACAGATGTGGATTTAATCAGATCGCTGAACTTGCCAGCAAACGCCGTCCAGGCGGTGTCAATGGAGGAATTGTCCGAAAAATCACAAACAGCATCGCCAACAAATCTGTGAGTGTGTCGTAGTGTGTGATTCTGCGAAACAAGTCACTATGTTCTTGTGGATATTCCGCATAACACACATGGTCGTAACGTATTGTTACGTGATCCCTACGCCTAGACGACTCAATACCTTTGGTTTCACGATCATGAGCTCTTCGTTCGTGAGCAGTAAACCAAGCACAGAAGGCTTATTGCCCGATCTGCATCTGGCAAGCGAACTGACATGGATAAGGAGCAGAATGCTCCTAAGGGTCTTTTGCGGGTCTTCCATGATTGTTCATTGCTTGTAACCGTAACTTGCAAATCGTGAACATTGAAGTCGCCGGCGATGAGTATATGGCTGTATGGTCGTCGAAGTACTTTCCGTAGTACTAATGTCTGTCAGGATTCCGTCTCTGGGGTGAACATTGGGGGACGATAAACAATTATCAAACTGCAAGTGTCTTTGGTCCTTGGTCGCAGACTGCACCAGAGCGGGCCTCTGAGCAGCGTTACCGGATCGTCCACAAGTGCGCACTGCAGGTCATTACAATAGTTTTAAATTACCCTCCGCCATTACAGTGGCGTTCGTTTCGAATTAGGAACATGTCATGTACCTCGACTTCGGCATCCGTGATTTATGAATGTAGCCAAGTTTCTGTTATGAATATGTGGTCCCAGGTGGATGATGCATGACGTATCCGCAGTTCCGCATATTTGTTCAATAGACCTTGTGCATTGGTAAACATGCAGGATAGGTTCTTTTTCATGGTAAGGAGTAGTGGGATGTGCGTTTTGGGTATGTTGTTGTGTTGACCGGGGAAAGTTCGGCAACTAATCGTTTTTTGGGTGAGATGTTGACGAACGCGTCTGTGTCAGATCTAGTCATACTGCCATTATGCTCGCCTCCGGAGCCTTTGGAGCTCAAAAGGAAGGCTGCAACGGCCGGTATACCAGCTCTCTAATTTCCTAGTTGACGTTTGTCTGGATTATAGAAACACTTTCACAATCCTCGGGCCGTTTCCTTTGAAATTTGGAGGCGTGCGACCCCACGAGATTTACTACTTTATAACACACCTGCCATGGATAAGATCTCTCGAATGTATCGCCACTGCTAGTGATTGTGCGCGGTCGCTTTGCGCTCAGCATGAACTCCAGCCTCGGGAACACCGTGTACAAGGATGGTCCTATGCACGGTTTCCTTTCGGTGTCTTTCCAAATGGTACTTCACCTATTTGCACATGCTACACGGAATATCCGGGAAGATGCAGATGGAACATGATAAATTCCGGATGCGCGTTGTCGAAAACAGGATAGCTTCTGCTTCACCAGCGGAAGTCAATAAAACACGAAGAATTCTCCGTTCACCGTAGTGCTGTGGGTTTAGGTCTCGTGTGATCCGTGTCAATTTGGCGGGCTTAACGACAACACCTACGATGTCACATATTCCTTCCACTGGTTCATGTCATCGAGTTGTTATCTTTTTAAGGAATTTGACGTTGACTCTGGAACTTTAGTGCAGATTAGAGTATGCGCGTGTTCCCCGAGCTGGCTGATTTGGCTGCAAACGTTTCATCATCAGGATAGACGACATCATCAGTGCGATTTATGCGGGCCACTTACAGATCCAAGTGATTATTGATCACTTGATTCGAACGTCAGAAGTCGACTGGTCCACGTGAGTTGACCGTGTAGTCAGCTCTGTCGTATTGTTGGTTAGAGTGAGCCTCAATGAGGTTCCTTCGTCCTGTTGATGTAGGGCGGACTATTCTTTTGACCCTCAGTGTTTCACAGGCAGTGTCTAGATCTAAGTTCTTGTTGATTGAGTTCTTCCCCAAGTACCAAGCCTCGATGAACTCGCGTGCTTGTCGACTTTTTGCCTTGCCTATGCTCCTAACATACACCAAATCGAATTGATGATTCTCGGCGTCCATTTGTACTGACATCAGAGAGTTCTGGTCATGTCGGCGGATGGCTAGGCTATGCTCATGTAGCCTAGTGCCGAGCTTTCTTCCTGTCTAGCCCACATAGTCCTTGTTACAGTTTTTGCAGTGCATTTTGTAAAGCACACCACCTGTTTCTTCTTTGCCAAGCCGGTCCTAATCATTGAAGAGGTTGTCTCTGATGGTTTCTGTCGGCTTGTGAGCAACTCTGATTTCGAAAGGTCGTAGCAGTCTCGCCGTCATCTCAGAGACGCCGTCGATGTATGGTAGAGTGATTGTCCTTTTATCCATTTCTGATGTTTGTTCTTGCGTCGGTCGTTTTATTGGTGTTAAACAACGTAGAATGAAATTTCTAGGATACCCATTCCGTGTAAACATTTTGAACAGATGGTCTTCCTCCGCTTTTCTCAGCTGTGGGGTGCTGCAATGGGTTTGCGCTCTTTTAAATAGTGTTTTTACGCAGCTGCGCTTGTAGACTGTTGGAAGCTTGCTGCGATAATTCAAGATTTGGTCTGTATGAGTCCCTTTCCAAAAACCGATGATGTCGTCTAGCCTGACGATGAAGGGTTTGCAGCCAAATCACCCAGCTCGGAGAACACCCGCACACTCTCATCCACATCCCGAGCTACAAACATTCTCACGGATTTTTAGTGCAGATTATCGGTGGTACCTATGTGTAGCTCGGATTGATGTCAGGTGCCCGATGGAAGCTACAGAAGTACAGCTTCGCCTTTTTCCTTTACTTTATCTCAAGTGGGGCTAACCGAAGACCTGTTTCCGGTTGGTTTTGGGCAGAAAGCATGTTCCAACCACCAACAATGTGGACCTCTTCCTGAAATGTTGCAAAAGTTTGGTGGGTGTATGAGGACCTGACCGCACTTATTCCAATCGGACTAACGGTCGTTGTTTTAGGCGTATTTGGGCAGCTAGTGGCATTGAGTTCTAAAACCACAGGGGACGCATTTCTGATGTTCTTTCCAGCGTTCTTCCGCTGTTTTGCAGCGGAGTCCAGTGGAAAATTTCGGGGTTTGCCCACTGCCAAACGTTCCTCAGATAAAGCGGCTTTGGTTTTCCTTATTTCCTCAGTGATCGCCAGCAGTCTTTCGTGTTTCTGCGCTAGTCCATGCATAAGCTTTACCAGTGGGATAACTATACATACTTCACAGAACCATAGAGAATCTGGTTTACTATTATGTATCTTCAACTAGCTTACTGTGAGCTTTGCACATTTAGTATGGAACTTGTTTCGGAAGTTTCCACACCGAATTCCGGTTCTTACATTCTTATGGCATGAAGGAATGCCACATACTACTGTCAGCCTCGGTGTGGAATGAGGTGCAACTGTGGACTGGTCGTTAAAAACCATTGCGTCGATCGATGCCTTTTCGGTCAGTGGTGTGGTTGTCTATCTGTCGCTGTATTTTCAAAGCCAGCATGTTCGGTGCGTGCACAGCTGGCCGACTAATATTGAGCGGGTGGATGGTTTGCTCGTTAAGCTCTGAGATTTAAATAAAGCGGGTAAGCGATGGGGCCCAAAAACGCCGGATAGCTAATTCGCTTAGCGGTCGGCAGCTGTGATTGTAGGCTCGTCGTACAGATCTTTAAGTTGGCTTTCGTTTGAGACCACAACAATTGCTTACTGGTCTGGCGCTCGGAAAATTCCTCGGTTTCGTTTCCGAGGGAACAGTGCAAAAATCACGATGTTGAGATTACAGATGATCCACACAGATTAGATCCAAGCGATGGAATGCATTAACCAGCGCGGATGAGGCGGATTCAAATGAGTCTAAACACACGTGTTTGTGATGAGAGGTGTTTCAGTAAAACAGATTAGAGTACGAGACCGGATTTTTTACGTCGGCCTGATGAACTGATGTACTGATGAAAAGTACTGCGTGAAGCCGAGAGAGGCACTGATCACAACCTAATGCAGACCAAACTATATATATATATATATATATATATATAATCTGCATAAACCTATGTATTGCATTGCTGCCGTCAGAGGAAGGAAATACAGTGTTCTTGCCCTAGGTACTGTAGCGAAGAAAATGGAGCTAGAGAAGGCCAATGTTTCCCGCCTTGTTTAGGTCGAATCCATAGCCGTCGTGAGCGATCTGTGGCACCACATTGGTGATAGCTGCTGCCAAATAAACGATCAGGCGCGTTAACTGTAAGCAGTCCGATTGGTTTGAGGACAGTAGTGTGACTATTGGTGCACTGGTGTCGTCGAAAAACATAGCGTTCGCTGCACATGTGGCAGACTCTGATACTTGCAAGAAGGGGAGTTATTTTAGGCAACTTCGAAAGCGATTGAATCAAATGTTCCGTCGCGTCAAGCATATATAGTGGACAGAGAAGGCAAGCGGACACTGGGGACGCTGCTCGACCCTA